TAAAAAAAAAAAAAAAAAAAAAAAAAAAAAGTAAACATAAAAATAAAAGATATGTTCAATAATAACAATTATCAAATAAAATTATGCCTAAACAGATCAAGTTTGGTCTTTTAATATATATGGTACTTTTCGTACTTCTAACTTTATAAATCCTTTTACAAAAAGGACGTTGTGTAATATTAATTCCATGTAAACATTTTTTATGTGGACAACAAAATAATATTCATGTGAATCAGCCAAATACTACTTAGGAAAGAAGATTTTAACCATATAGTCTTACAAACAACTAACGACAACATACCAGCTGAAAGTGAACATAGGGAATTAATGTGAAACACAAAAACAAACATAGATTAATGGAACAACTATCGACAACATACCAGTTCAAAGTCAACATAGCTTAAACAACAAACACAAATTACAACAACTTTTTAACCTCGAAACGAACACAAACATAAGAAATTAATGTGAAGCACCATGTAGACTCTTCAACCATGTCAGTTAATCCACAAATGCCTCTGCACCCCAATTTTGCATCAACACCTTTCCATGTCCTTCAACTATTTGTAATTCAAAAAAACCCTCCGCAAAGTCCAAAATGACTTGACTTACGTCGGTCGGCTCGGGTAACACGTATGTTAGCCAAAAATTAATTGGAATAGGCTGCAATAGCGGGCAGTTCTAATAACCTGTGCTTGAAAATAAATTAATTATAATTTAAACGAAGAGTAATAGACAGTTAACCAGCGGGCGCGCTCGACATGTGTTTTTGTTATTTGCAACGTAAAACGATGTCGAAGATGACGCTCAACTTGATTATTTGTGAGGACTGTTATAACGAAATACATTAGAGATGTTCGGTCGAACCACACACACTGGTCGGTCAAAATATCCTCAGAACGCACAAAGTCGCGCCATCCTTCATCGAAAACCACCCGACACAGATGACCTCTCATTATGATGTTATACGTACGTCCCTCTCTCGTAGTAAGAGTGCACTCAACATGTATAAGGTGGGTATATTGATGGGCCAAAGTGTCCGGAAGCTTCTGCATTGCACATAACACAAACGCAAATGAGGTTTTATGTGATAATGTAGCACATAATGAAACATGAAGACGATGATTCGTAACGACGCAAACGTACCAATGTTCGCCTCTCCGGATTGACAATGTACTTGAAAAACCTTTCATAGTGGTCAGACATGATCTCGAACAAAGCTAATGACAAAGGACACACACATACAAATATTGGGGGCGGAAGATCAACGAGAATGACACAAAAAACATCGGCAACCTCTAAAAAGTATAATAAAACGACAATAATCTAATCCCAAAATTACATGTAGTAACAAAAAAAAAATAATAACATTATTACACAAAAAAAATAGAACGGAAAAAAAATAGCACAAGAAAAAAAAAATATGTAAGAAAAATGTTGCTATTGGGCGGGCGTACCTCGTTCGACAAGAATAATGTCTTCTTCGTCTACGCTTCGATGTACAGGAGTGGAGTGGACCGGGTGTGTTGACGGATTTTGCAAGAAAAAATATTGCTATTTGGATCCTGGTGAATGAAAAAAAAGAACACAAATGGTATTGGTATTGGTAATGCTCCACCAAAAAGGAATCCACACAGCTTTTTATGAACGGTGCAGTTGAACAAAAAAAAAAGCAAAGCACATGACTATCTGATGAATGAAACAAAAAAAAAATAATAATAATAAACAATAAGGAAAGTTATGAACGGTGTAGTTGGGAAGTGAATTTATTTTGGCATTCAATAAAATAATAAAATAAGGGTACAAGTCAGGTTCCATTCCACTAAAGTAGAGGATGTCTACATCAAAGGAGACACGTGGGCCCATGAGATAGCTAGATGGTGTAGTTGTTTAAAATGGAATTTCACTCAATTAATTCAACTTGAAATAACTTAAAGATTTGGATAAATTAATCCATAAACAAGCGTCCCCTAAGAGTTTAGAAGGTTAGCTTACCACAACCATTGCCAAGAAAGTACACGCGCACGCCGAGTAGCCGCGAGCAAACAAGCACGTGCAATCCTAGCATTTTCATCGAGCGATTTGAGGGGTAAATTCATAACACCCTTCTCTTAGTTATTTTATGGTCATGTTAGAGAGATCATGTAGAAATGATGTCTTTTGATCCATGTTTAGTACCAAAAACGCACTCGGAGGTGCTATATAAGCCCTTTTGAGCTATTTTAATTTCTAGCCAAGAACTTTTGAGCACTTTATGCATTTTTAGTCGTTACATGTCATATTATGTTGATTCAATTAGCCACTGTTGGAGAAAGTCGTCGGACGGCCAGCGAGGTGTCGGTTGTAGCGCGTGACCGGCAGCATTACAGGGCGTGTGGGTAGCGTGCATACGTCAGTCGTGCGTCGCGTGCAGCTCTCGCCCGCAATGTCCAGCAGCTTGCTGCAGTGAGTATGTGCGTAGGCGCGTAGGGTACGCCAGTCACGCACGGCAGCACGCAGTCAGTACCCGCAGTGCGTCGCGAATGTCGGCAGCGCACGCTAGCGTGCCAGCCACCTCGCAGCACGCATGGAGTTGCCAGCCAGCAGTGCCCAGCGCATGCTGGCAAGTCCCAGCGTACGGTAGCGCGCCCGATAGTGCGCTAGCATGCCCAGCAGGCATTAGCCAGTGCCGACAACACGCCTGAGCGCCCAGCCGCACTAGTACGTGCGAACAGCGTAGCCAGTATGCCCAGTCGCCTGCCCGTGGCACACAGCAGTGCCCGGCAGTGCCAGCATGCGCTAGTGTCGTAGCCAGCAAGCACGGCAGTGACCAGTCGTGCGTCACCAGTGCTCAGTTATTGTTGGTAGTGCATAGCAGCATGCGATGGCCGTCCCATGCGCACGCGTGGTTCCAGTCGCACCTGCCAGCGCACGAGCCATGTCCAGTCATGCACGGGTCGGCGCCAGCTGCGCGCGGCAGCGCCCAAGTCGCGCCCAGTGCGTATGTGCGACCGCGCCAGGGCACAGCAGGCCCTGCGTGGGGCCGAACCAGTTTGCCCAAGCCAGCGGCCGACCACCCAACCACAGAGAGTCGGCGGTCTGGCCAGCCTGTGAACATGCCAGTTCTGACCGGTCAATTAAGTCTTTTTCAGTTTTTATTCCCGGTCCAAGTTCACTTTAGAATTTCAGTTAAATTTTCAGTACCAGTTCAATCTAGATTTTATTGTCAGTCAAGATAGAACCCGAGATTATTCCAGTAAATTCAGTTTAATATTTAGATCGAGTCGAGCATCTTAGCAGCTATTTTTAGTCAGTCTGAGCATAATACTTAGTATTTGTTTATTTATATATTTTTACAATTTGATTAGTCAGCAGCAACACTTACATTTCAGTAGTTCAGGTGGGGACTCATATTGAATATTAAATTGAGTATAATTACAGCTATCATGTTCAAGGTATGTATATTTAGTTCCGCTTAGAATGGTGGCCAGTTCAGGTGCCGTAAGTCCATTCTGAGTTCTAGTGGCGTAATCTACCCACTAGG